TCACTCTCACTCACTCACTCACTCTCACTCACTGACTCACTCACTCACTCTCTATCACTCACTGACTCACCGACTCACTCATACATTCTCACTCACTCACTCTCTCACTCATTCTCTCTCTCACTGACTCACAAAAAAGAAAACAAAACAAAAATACAAATAAGAACATAAAAATGAAGACCAGAAAAAATGTAAGACTCATTAGTAATTAGGTTCATTGAAATGATTATGATACTATAATGATATTTCATTGTCTTTTTCTTTTTTTCATGCCTACAATGCTTTTTAAAAAAATCATTTTATTGGGGGCTCATACAATTCTTATCACGATCCATACATCCATCCATTGTGTCAGGCACATGTGTGCATTTGTTGTCCTCGTCATTCTCAAAACATTTGCCTTTTACTTTAGCCCTTAATATCGGCTGCTCATTTTCCCTCTCCCTCCCTACTGCCCCCTCCCTCATGAGCCCTTCATAATTCATAAATTATTATAGTTTTGTCATGGGTTGCCCTGTCCGATGAAAAAAAAAAAGAGAAAATTATGATTAGTACTAAAAAATGGAAAGGAGGAATACTGTGCATTTTTTAATGGCGTAAAAGTAGGCCAATTTCAGGTTGCCAATATAGTAAAGTGTACAAACTCCAGCACCAGATGATCTGTGTTCTTCAAATCCTGACTCTACCACTTAGTAGGTGTATGATTTAGGGCAACCTATTTATACTCTTTGTGCTTTACTTTTCCCAACTTCTTTAGGGAGGTGATAATACAATCTCCCTCTTATGAAGAGACTTAGACTGAGGGTTAGTAGAGTTTTATGTGCTTAAAACAGTGTCTAGCACTGAATAAGTACACTTTGAGTGTTAGAGCTGAATATTTGGCAGACATCATTGTCTTTCAGGTGAGGTAACATTTAAGACTTTAGGAGCGGGAATACGAGCTCAGAGTATCTTGCAGAAAAATTTTCAAGTGAAGAAATTTTGATGCTATTATTTAATGACTTTATTTTTATGACAGTCCTCGTTGGAAAGCTGGAAATCCACTTTTCATCTCTCAATCTCCGGACAAGGAGAGAGATGGACATGAGCATTCTTTCTAGGCTGTAGATTGCTTCAAAGGAAAGCGATCTTGTCTGGTCTGCAAACAGAATAGTAATGACAGCTGCTAGTGAACCTGTCTAGTTAAAATAGATGAGTCTTCACTTTACAAAACTGAAAGCAAGACGCTCCCTCCTACCAACTTACTTTGTTGAGCAAACGTCATTCCTGACATACTCCCCAGAAAGGAGAGAAAATAAGCATCCGTAAGACTGTTGGGTGAGCCTTTGCAACAGGTGATAGTTACATCAGGTGACATGGCACGGAGACATTGTGTTGAGCTTGCTTCCTTGCCCATTGCTGAAGATATGGGCTTCTGGTTCTGCCACTTAACAAGGGTAATCCATTTTCACTTCATTGGACCTAGTTTCCACCCCTCAAATGTGATTGTTAGGCTGACAGCATAGGTCCCACAATGAAAGTTGGTTCCTATGTGCCCCCCAGACCCCTTCCAATTTTTCTTCTTTAGGCGTAACTTCAGCACAGCATCTTGAAGTAGATCTAGTCAGAAAGCACAGGGGGTATCAGAGCATTCTGCACTTTGAGAAAAATATCCTTCTGGATGCACATTGCACATGGACATATGGCAGAGCCAGCCTGGCTTTGGTTTTCTTTCCTGGACGAGACCACAATGACAGACGGAATACTCGTCAACTCTTTGGCAGGCAGTTAAAGGGGATGTTCCCATCAATGAGAAAACTCAGACTCCGAGAGAGTAAGGAACTTGTCAAAAGTCACTGAATTCAATACTTAGTGCTGGAGCCTGGATTTGAGCTCCAGTACACCTGATGGAGCAGTGAGGAAACACTCAGCTGCTAATTTAAAGGTGATTGGTGCAAGCCCAGCAGCCCTGGGCTGTGCGGGAAAGATAAGGCAGTCGGCTTCCGCAAAGATTACAGCCTTGGAGACCCTCTGAGGGTATCTCTGTTCCGTCCTCTGGGGTCACTGTGAGTCCGAATCGACTTGGCCACAACAGATGTTTTGAGGGTTTGTGTCCGAGGGTGTCTGTCTCACTAGAGACTTCATTTCAGCTTTGTACTCCAGGAGCTCCTGTGGCGTCCACCTTCAGCTGTTGGTTTTCCCTCTATGTCCTAGGACACAGGAGCTGGTCTCAGATCTCATCAGTGTCTCTAAAACTCATAGGTGAACCACCTGTTTGTTTTCAGGAAAGCCCAAGGAAACTGATGATCATGAACTTGCCAGACATTCTGCAAATGAACGCATAGCAAGCGATAGTCTTACGGTGGCAGAGGGCCAACTGCATCCGGGCTGAGCACCCTACATCATTTCAGGTATGTCTGGCCACACTCTGTGAGATAAATTTACTTCTTGCCATGTACAAAAGGACATTGAAACATAGAGATATGTAACTTATTGATGAATTTTTTATTTCTTGCACTTTTTATAACTTATTTGGAGGCTATGTATGTGTGTTTGTTTAATATAGTCTCATCAGACTGTAATCTACGGAAGGCTGGGATCACGTTTGTTCTGGTCAGAGGTGCTCCAGTATGGTTTTTATAGAATGAGTTGGCTAGCTCAGTAGCCTAAAGCTGGAATTGACCCCTAACCTAAGGACTACGGAAAACGATTTCTCACCTAGGAAAACGCTGAATTTTATCCTTCAGACTCCAGTTGTCGCCATTTTTACAATAGTCCAAGTCCTAAAATCATTTGGGTCACCTCAGTAGACGCTCACCCACGGGCATCTCGCTTGTAAGCCGTTTCCAAGTAGCCCTAGTTTATGTACTCCGCTTGAAGCGAGTACTTCTGGGACTGCCAAGTGGTTTGTTGATGTTGTTTTTGGTTCTACATAAAGGCACAGCCTGACAGATACCCCAGACGCGTAAGGACTTTTCCCTGCCCCCTTTGAGACCAGGACTTTGTTCTGGGGGTGGGACAGAGGGGAGGAGCAAAAGGAGAGGGGAGTGGTTGGCCTGGGACCACTGCCGGCCTGGGACAGAGGCATGCAGGTCCACAATCCCAACCCCCAACCCCACTAGAGGGCAGAGCCTGGGCCCAGGGCTAACGCAAGATGCCACAGGTAAGCATGGAGAACGGGTGTCTCATGTGATCCTCGACAGGGGTGGGTGGCCTAGGCTGAGTGGAAGGGCCTGGAAAGAAGTCCTTCGCCTCGGCCCTGGTCACATTGACTGGAAAGAATCCGCTTGTTCTCTCCCGACTCTGCCTCTTTCCCCCAAGAGCTGCCAGGCGGGGAAGGACCTAGAAGTGGGTGGGCTGGGAGAAATTTCCACCCACAGAAACTCACCAGGCTGAGCTTGGCTTGGAAGACCTCAGTAGCATAGGCTGCAGGTCAGATATATTCATCTATCTGTCTGTTAATTCCATTTCTTCATTCATTCACCTTTCACTTCTACACTATACCTGGCCCTTTGATAGGTTCTAGAGATAGGTGGTTCCAAGACTCTGACAGGCCCACCTCTCTTGGAATTTAGGCTAGTGGACAGTAGTTTAGCATCCCCTCTAGAGACTGAAAATAGATATGACATGCAGAGTGATCCCTGCAATGATGATTGCTTCACAGATCCCTTCAGAGCCCTGAAGAAGAAGAAGAAGAAGAAGCAGAAAGCAAATCAGGTGAGGCTTCACTGAGGAGGGGACATTTGAAACTGAGGGCCTAAGGGCTTGTGGACTGCTGATTTCAAGGTCTGCAGTTCAAACCCAGTCAGTCTCTTTGGGCGAGAACGATGAGGGTGCCTCTTCTCCTAAAGACTTACGTTCACCGAAATTTCATGGAGCAGTTTACTCTATCCTACAGGATAACTATGAGTCAGAATCAGCTTGACAGCAGTGGATTTGTTCCTTTTTGGGGGTTTTGGAGGTTGACAAGGAGGGAATGGAGATTGCAGATAGGGGAAACAGCTCACAGATTATGAAAGGCCTGCTGTTAGAGGAGCAGTACCCAGCCTAATATAATATAGCCAAAGATGATGGGGGTGTTATCTGGGAAAGAAGGTGGAGACCAGAAAGCCTCAAATGCCTTGCTGAGGCCAGGATTCTAAAGTTCAGTATTTCTCGGCCTTTTAAAACTTTTAATCCCTTGGTAACCATCTTGTAAGCTCTGAAAACTTAATTCTGATAGGTGCTAGTCCCCCATGAGAATCACAAAACTTTATCACCACCATCCCACCATCCCCCCCCCCAACGAAAAATTATGTCCTATAGTTGTGTTGGGATGCTGAGTCAATTGAAACTGATATATTCAACAGGAAAGGTTTACAGAAGGGAAGTGGCCTGGTTTGTTCTTTGTTTTAGGAGAAAGATGAATGGCTACAGAATTCTTTTCTCTCTTAGGCATAGGACACAATGCAGCTGTTGCCTGTCTTGGAACCTGGAGACAAGCCTAGGAAAGCAACATGGTTTGTAAAGAAAGGAGATGGATGCAAAAACCCCTGAGTTTTTCTCATTTATAAGAAGTTTACTAACATATTTAATCAACAAAAGGCAGAGATGAAACAGTCTGCAGTTTCTGGTAATGAGACTCAAACTGTCCTAAGAAGGTCCTTGGAGGAAAGATAGTAGGGCAATAATTATTACCGAGCAGATGTTGATTTTGTTAAAATCCATTTACCAGGAAGAGGAAAGCACTGACCATCTGGCATCCTCCGCTCCAGCACTGTCACTGTCATGGAAGGCTATGGAAAGCAGGCAGTGTTTTCATGGGATCTTGGAGGAGAACCTCTCTTCTGTTTGCCCTGCGTTCATTCTCACTCTGTACCCAGCATAAATCTGACCATGACTTGCCCTACCTTAAAATCTTTTCATGTCTCTGCGTTGATCTTAGAATAAAGCCAAACTCCATAAAGTGACCCACTGGGCCCTGCACAATCTATCAATCTATTCCTGCCTATCTTTCCAACCTCAAATGTTCTTACTTGTTCTTTGTTCTCTTTCTATTCCTTTAGCACATCTTTCACAGTCCCACTGAGGGGGTCACTGTGTTTGTGAAAATGAAGTGAGGTCCCCCTCACCCCCAGTCATCTGCCCTCCTCCTCCAACTTCACTGGGGTGTCAGAGAATCATTATCAGCACTAACAATTCAAGGCTGATTCCTCTGAGGACAAGATTAGACATAGCTCCTCTCCCTCCCTCCCTCCCTCCCTTTGTCCTCCTCTGCTGGGTTTGGATTTGCTAGAGAAGTGACAGGTTGCAATTCAGGACCAGAAACTACTCAAGATCTAGTTTTCTAGTCTATACACCTTCTCAAACATGCCCATAAAGAGAACTCTTCCTGGCCTTTGGGCCCTCACCCCCTTTGGCTTCTTGAGTCTGCCTAGCCTCTGCCTGGTTCTGACAAGTGTTACCTTTGGTACCAAAGCTAAATGGCCAGGGCATTTGAACCTACCAGTGAGCTTCCTGTTCCAAAGCACTTGGCTCTATCACTCTGGGTCCTTACCCCAACTGTCACTCATCGCCTCATTGCACCATCTCATGTCAGTCTTCTAGTTCTGCTGCTGCTGTTTCTTTGCCGCTGTTCTCTTCTTTCATACTCTGTCTGTCTCCTGGATTCAGGAGGTTCTCAGGGCAGGGATTCCAGATCAAAGGGACACGTTCAACTCCTAGCTCTTAATTCCTGGCTGTAGTGCAGTCCCTTTTCTGCACTGACATTGACTCTCTTTTAAGCCTCGGCAATGGTAAAACTAATCAATCACTTTATTGAGGGATTTCATATGCCTAATTTGCATTATTTCACCCCCACAAAGGTGCCATGAGCCTTTGAATTACTAGCAAGCTGTCCAATCTCTTTGGTGGTCCAGAAGTACCTGCTTTGTGCTGTCCCACTCAGTTGTTAGACCCTTGGTTATATTTTGGGATAACCAATTGGGATGCTAACTGCAAGATTGGCCACTGCAGGAGAAAGATGAAATGTCCTTCTATAAAGATCGATAATATTGGAAACATTTAGGAGCAGTTCTGTTTTATTCTGTGGGGTCACCACCATGAGTTGGAATCAACTGAATGGCAGTGAGCTTCACCTAATCATTTGGTGGGAATTATAAGACCATGATGAGAAAGGCCACATAGAAGCCATCCCTTGCACTGTAACACTGATCTCTCTCCCAGAACTAGTCTTTCCGTTATCTCACCCCTCTATTTGCATAGCTAACTTTAATTCACGCTTCAGATCTGAGTCAAATGGGGATTCTTCAGGAAACCTTCCCTGACCACCCTTCATTTCCTCACCAGTCCTTACAGAGTAAGATCCCCTATGATGTGTTCTCATACTATGGGTATCTTGCCCTGCTTGATAGCATGAGTAAAATAAAGTAAGTTTTGTTGAGTTATCTGTGTAATATCTCTCTTCCTAATAAGTCTATAAGGTCATGAAGGCAGGGACATTATTGCTTTGTATCTAGATGGCTCTGTACTCTTGGTCAAGTTATTTAACCTTTCTAAGCTCCAATTTCTCAGTAGTTTAATTCAATAATAATAGTTCTTTCCAAAAAAAAATAATAATAGTTCTTTCCTCAAAGGGGTCTCGTGTAGATTAATTATAATTAGCAACATACTTGGTGCATTGTTAACAATTATTCAGGTGGCCACCAGATCTGTGAATTTAGATAATTAGAAGAGAGAGCTGGACAAGAAATAAAGAATTGGGAATCACTGATGAATATATCCATGATTAGTAAATGAAGCCTTCAATGTCAGTAAACTTGATCATGAAAGAGTTGTCATTGAAGCTTCAGTATAGATTAGTAGATCCAAAGAGAAGAGAATCCTAAGCATGCTGAGAGTCAGGAGGAGGCTAGGAAAGGAATTAGAGAAGGAAACCAGCAGAGCAGGTAGAAAGGTGGGTAGAGAACAAAACAGATGTGGGGAAGCCAGGTGAGAAGAAAGAAATAGGAATGGGGGAGAGGTCGGGGGAGCAAAAAATACACAAAACCGAAACAAAACTTACTGCCATTAAGTTAATTTAGACTCCTAGCTGCTAAATACCAGAGAGGTCAAATAAGACATGCGTGATAAATGGCTAAGGAATTTTCTTTTCCCATCAGGAAGCTCTCTCAATCAGCAAGCAGAATAACTTCAGAGAGTAGAATAAATAGATGCTGTATTTTATTGTTCAAAGTCCTAGCTTTTCCATCCATCATATTGAGCTTTGTGAGTAATCTGGAAAAGCTTTTGAAATCAATAAATTCAAGAAAGTATTTCATGATAAAGGGGAAGCATCTCTGGCTATTGACAGGGCTTGGGGCTGTAGGTTCCAGTATATGGCTATATAGAAAGCGCCAGTTAGCACTTAGTCCTTTGTTGCACTACTATCTGGCTTAGACTTTATAGTCCCTTTTGGCATAGTGGGCGGCATACTGAGCTGCTTACTACAAGGTCAGTGGTTTGAAAATACCAACTGCTCCAAAGGAGAAAGATGACGCGTTCTACTTTATAAAGTAGAAACCTACAGAGGCAGTTTAACTGTGTCTGATAAGGTCATTATGAGTTGGAATCAACTAAAGGGCAGGGAGTTTGGGAGATTTTGTTTGTTTGTTTTGGATTTGAGATAAGAGTATTGCCGTCCTCATTGTAGAAATGCAATAAGGTTCAGAAAGATTGGAAGTGTTTACCAAAACATTACACATGTTCCTACACATATGTCTAGGAACAAGATAGTGGTTACAAATGTGTTTCGTGAATCAAACAAACCTAATTCAAGTCTCAGCTCAGCAACTTGAATTGTTTGATTCATAAAACACATTTGTAGCCACCATCCTGTTCCTAGACATATCATTGAACATTTGCGGGTCTTAGTTTCCTCACTTAAGAAATGGTGACAATCACCAGCCCAATCCAAGCCAACTAGATTACTGTGTGATGAAAGTAGTGACAATATTGAACAACTGAAAATTCTGTACAGATAATTAAGTGTCTGTGTCTGAATAAGATCCTTCAGCTCAGTGGATCTCGAGAGGAATAGAAAGAACACACTGGTGCATTTGGTCTACTCTCAGACCTCCTGAGTCCATCTTCCTTTTGGCAGGTACACTTTGACACCTCCAGGAGACAGCCCTTGTGCTCGGGTTGGCCACAGCTGCTCATATTTACCCTCAGTTGGTGATGCTAAGAGAGGGAAGGTCTTCATTGTTGGAGGAGCAAATCCAAACAGAAGCTTTTCAGATGTGCATGCCATGGATCTAGGTAAGACTGGGAATGGTAGAGCTTGACCTCTGACCAGAGCAGAGCTTTGTGCCACCAGCCATGACAAGAACACTCCTAGGCAGCATGAACATCTCTGACAGGTCCCTAAAGTCTCAGCTGACCTCCTGGAACATATTCACCCCACAAGTACCTCCTTGATTAGGGGGATAGACTCTGTATGGAGGGCTAGTCACCCAGCCATTCACTCATCAAACATGAATGAATGATTTTCAGGGAGATATTGATGATTTCCCCACCTCCTTTGTCCGTGCATGGAATTAATCATTAAGTCCTAAATATCTGTTACCTTCATCCATGTCTCTCCATTTCCAAAGGCCAAGTCACCACTAGCTGTTAATTAGACTTCCATAGCCTCCTCTCTGGTCTTTCTCTTTCCTCTAGTAGAGTCCATTTCCACCCTCCGCAGAAGGGTGCTATCTAAAATACAAATCTACTTCCTTGTTCGAAATCTTCTCCAATCTCACTTCTTGATTCGTTCCCATCTCCTTTGCTACACTAAACAGCCTTCAGGTCCTTGAACACCTTGAACTGCGTGGCCTTCACGCATTTGCATGCTTCTCCCTCTCTCCAGAAAACTCTTCACGTCTGCATGCTTGCTATTCATCTTTCATATCCCAGATTAGATGTCACTTTCATGGGAAGTTTCCCCTGACACTCCTGGAGTACTTTCGGTACTCTGCCCAGTAGCTCCATACTACCCTGCACTTTCCCATGCTTATTTCCCTTCACAACCCTTCTCGCCCATGATTTCTTTTATTTGTCTTTCCTACAAGTGTACAAACTGCATGCAAATGAAAGATTGTGGTTATTTCCCCTATTGCATCCCTAGCTTCTACCACCGACAAAAAAGCGGGGATTTATTTATATAGATACAAGGGTATTGCACAGAATCTAAAGACAAGAAGTACAGCCCAGAGACAGCAAAATAAGGATTAGAAAGCTATCAAAAACCATCTTTCTCCACCCTCTCTTTCTCTATGCTGCCTTACATGGATCTGCTTCATTCTTCTCTGTTCCATACATGGTGGAAGATGACCACCCAAATCCAGCTATCTGTTTGAATTCCATTTAAATTCTTAAGGAGGAGGACCTGATTGGCCTAGTTTGCTTCAAATGGCCACCTCTAACCCAATCAGCTAATACTAGAAAGTCAAAGTGCTGTGACACAGACAGGTCTTTCAAGATCTTCCCCTATGGTTAGTAAATGGGACGGTGTTCATTGAAAAGGGTGGATGAACTAGGCAGACATCCCCCTGAGTGAAACTTTTTGTAAATTGACCATGTTCCTTTGATGGTGGTTCATTTAAGTTTTTTGACCCTCTCCTTTGACCCTCTCCTCACTACCCTCCCCAAGTTTATCAGTATAAGCAGCCCCTGTCAAGGAACTGGTGGAAATGTTTTCTAGGGACACATCAGTGGGATTTAGCCACCTGGGAGGGCCTCTTGCCCCGGTACGAACATGCCAGCTTCATTCCCTCCTGCACACCGGACAGCATCTGGGTGTTTGGAGGTGCCGACCAGTCAGGCAATCGAAACTGTTTACAAGTGTTGAATCCTGGTAAGTAACCAAAGTGATTTTGTTTCCATAAATAAATAAGTTCAATTCCAAGTGTGCCAAACCCATTTAAGTGGTACTGAGGGTTAACTTTGCTGACCTCACAGAAAATAGGAATTTTAACTTCTAGCAGAAACTGAAAAGAATAGTCTTTTCCTCCTCTGGTAACATGTAGTTATCAATTCCTTACGTGCCATAACTGGAAGGGACTTCAGAGAACAACTTCACCAAGTGGGAAACTCAGGTCCAGCAACCTAATGTCATCAAGGAGTCAGCGGCTGATCCAGAGTAGTGGTTTTCCAACACAGATGATTTTGCCCCACAGGGAACATTTAGCAATATTTGGAGATGATTTGGGTTATCACAAGTCAATTTCTCTCCTCCCCTTAACCCATCCCTCTTCTTTTTAAAATATAAAATACCAGTAAGTGCTGAACCCTAATTCAAATTCTCCTACTGTGGGCCCTTTTTTTTAAAAAAGCCAAAATAATTCAAGGTTATTGGCTTGTCCTACAGGCAATTTCATAGTAAAAGAAGCAATTGGGGACTAACACTTACTACTGAGAGGATGCTGCTGACCCACCTGTGGAAGGTGGACTTACTCTTTTGTCATTTTTAGAATTTTGTTCTTGTCCTCTCTTTATAAATATAATTCATTCACAGAAATATATTTGTAAAGTATGAATAAGCATTATGTGTTAGTCTGGGTACTTTAGAGAATCAATCCACAGAAACTCATGTGTAAAGAAAAGAGTTTTATATAAAGGTTAAGTGCACATCAAGAAAACATCCAAACCCAGTGAGTGCTGCCCAAGCCCAGAAGTCCAACCTTAACCCATTAACCCATATGTCCAACACCAATCCACAAAGTCCTCCTCCATCTCACAAAACACACACTATGACGCGACTGCAGGAGGAAAACTGAATCAGTGAGTGTGTAAGCATCTCAGCGCTGGCAGGGGTCTCCAGCTGGCTGCTCCAGCACCCAGGGCTGCATCAGGGTAGGTCCATGGCTTCTCCTTGGGGATGTCTTGCAGGAAGTGAGCCTGCCAACTGAAGCAGGGAACTGGCTAAGGCAGCTGCACCCTGGTCTGACCATCACAAAGTAAGAGCCCCGAGAACTAGAAAGGCAAGGCCCACGGAGCCATTTATCTCTCCACCCTTCAATTAACCCCACATGTGTTTATCAGCCAGGTTGGCACAATAAACTAACTAACTCACTTTACCAGCCAAATTCCTTATCCAAGTTTATTAGACAAAAGTCGCTACACTTCTATATGCTAAGGGTCTCAATAACATTTCTTTGTATTTAACTATGCACTTTTGAGTCCTTTTCCTTTCCATTTCATTGTTACTGCAAAAATTATTTTCTACTAACAATGCTTTGATAAGATCTTGATGGCTACAAAATGCTCTGTTTTATAATGACACCCTAAGTCCCCTATTGTTGGACATTCAGGCTAATAAACATGTACTGTTGTGAGTGACAAGGAGTGAATATCTTTGCTCAGAAGTCATTGTGTTTTAGATGATTTTCTTAGGATTCTAGCTCTGAATGAAAGAGAGTAGGTAAAATACTGTGAACTTAAAAAAACCAAACTATTGTGCTTGGTAACTCCCACAGGAAGTAAAAAGGAATACTATGAAAGGGGAATATTCTCTACAGCCAATTATTTTATTAAGGATCTATGCATATGTATAATCTCCTACTTTAACTGTATTTGCAAACAATAAGAAGATTTTTGTTTATTTACAGTTTAGTATCTGGTTTCTACATGGAAGACTCATGCTTATAGCTCAATGTAGTCTTTGCCAGCTAAATCTGAAGTGTTTAGATATTTACATATCAGTGTTTGTACAGTATCGTTTGCTGATTTTTAAATAAAAGTCATGACTGTGCAAAGAAAATTGTATTGTGCTTGGGTAGATCTACAGAGCAGATCATCGCTTTTAAATTCAGCATTCATACACTTTTAAGCTTCAACTCATTCATTGCAGACCCTAAAATATAATTTCACTTGCCCCACTTCCTCCCTGTTTCCATTCCTAACCTGGTTTCCATTTTGCACTCTTAACATTTTTAAGGCTTTTGACACAGGCTACCAAATAGTTCCCCAGAAAGCATTTTCCTGTTTATCCTTCCTCCAGCCGTGTTTGATGGTGCTTGTTTCACTCTGCCCTGACTTGCGTTGAGTGCAGCACTTTTTAAACTCCTTGCTATTTTGATGGGCGCACGGGCACATTCAACACACACATAAACACATTTGCCTCGTTCCTTAAATGAGCATTTTGGTAATTACTCAGAACCTGGACATTTTTCACATATAAGTCAACTCTTAACCACTTCCCTCCTAAAGATCAACTGAGGCACAGGATGAGTGAGAGGTAAACTGAGGCACAGGGAGATGGACAAAGATGACTGACAGGATACAGGGAGAGCAGAAACAGAAGTAGCTTTATTAGGGAGAAGCTCTGGGACAAAGCCCCATGCTCTACCAAATATCCCAGGGGAATCATGGGCTTTGCCTGGGGCCTGGGGTTTTTAAAGGGAAGCGGGAGAGGGAGGTATATGCAGCAGGGGAAGGTTTATGACCCAGCATGTTAGCAGTGAGGTTTATGGCCTAGGAGGTCAGCGGTAAGGTCTATGGCCCAGGATGCAGTTTATCAGCTCTGGCAGGTAGGGTGTCCTGTTATCAGGGAGTCAGGCATCCCTGGTGCTGTTTCTCAGTCTCCCCATTCCAGGGGGCAACTGCTGATCTTCGGGGACATGCAGGGAAGCAGGGGCCCCGGCCTGCCTCAGCTTAGCCAAATCATGTCCATCAGCAATTGTGTTATAAAAAATCTGGCTGTTTTTTGCCCTCAGTTCCTGGCAGGTGATCTGTAAACCTTTGGGATAAAGAATTTGGCCAGCAATGCTGGGAACGGTAAAAAACAAACAAACGTGGTTAGAGAGTTAGATGTTTGTGTGTGTTTTACGTTGGAGGGTGAGCATGGTTAGGGCTGGAGAGCTAATTCCATTAAACGGCTGATGATTTAATCAAGCCCATATAATGCAACCCTAATAAAAAGCTTTGCAATAATGATTAAAAAAAATAAAACATTTGCCCACCAAAACTTGGGGGAACTTCTCTAGTTGGCAGTATGGTATATTGTCACACATTGAGATTTTCGAAGGATGACACATTCTAATAATGGAAGCTTCCCATTTGAGGCCACCCGGACTTCACCCTGACTTACAAACAGATCTGTCTTGGATAAGGTGACCAGACGTCCCGCTTTTGGCGGGACAGTCCGATTTTTGGCGTTTTAAAAAAGTCCTGATTTTTGGAAAGAACGCATGACAAGCTAGGGAACAGTCTATTTGGTCCATATAGACCAAATTTTTAATCAAGAACGTCTCCCCCACCCCCGGTCAATGGTGTCCTGCTTTAAATCTGGTCACCTTAGTCTTGGAGGAAGTACAGCCAGAATGCTTCTTAGAGCCAAGATGGTGAGACTTTGTCTCATGTATTTTGGACATGTTATCAGATGAAATCAGTCCATGCTTGGTAAAATAGAAGAACTTTGAAAATGAGGAAAGCTCTAGACGAAATGGCTTGTTATAATGGCTACAACAGTGGGTTTAAACAGAAGAACAACTGTGATGATAAGGCAGGATCAGGCCGTATTTCATTCTGTTGTACATAGATAGGGCCGCTAGAAGTCAGAACCAACTGAACGGTACCTAATAACAACAGACCTTACTCAGTGGGTCTTTCCCTTTGACTGGTTCTGATTTGTATCCTTTTGCTACACCAATAAAAAACCCCAAAAAACGAATACATGTAAGTGTAATGCTTTTTTTTTTTTAAGATAACTTTATTGGGGGCTCTTACAGCTCTTATAATCCATACATCAAATTGTATGGATAAGCATATTTGTGCATATGGTATGTTGCCATCATTATTTTCTAAACATTTACTTTCTATTTGAACCCTTGGTATCAACTCCTCTTTTTACCCCCTCTCCCACTCTCATGAAACTAATTATTATTAGTTTCATATCTTACATTGATGTGTCTTACACTGTCTAGTGTAATGCTTTCTTGAGTTCTGGGACGATGAGTTACCTTGGTTATTAAGGCAAACCCCTCGAATGTCTTAGGACTCCTTTGGGATTATTTGTGTTGGTGTTTAAATTGGCAGCAACACAATCCCATGAACTTCTGACCCCGTAGTTGTGCACACTGTAACTCCCGCTATGATCCAAAAGCTCTTCAAGACCTGTAGCTATAGAGACAATTATATTATGCTTTGGATATAGGCCGAGACTTGTTCATCTCCACATAGGTGTTTGAGTTCCACACATATTATAAATGCTACCTGCACAAGAGGCACAGAATTTTCCAGGCAGATCATTCATGATGTAGTGTGGTGTAGTGAATATGGGAGTTCAGAAGATCTGAGTTCAAATCTTACTGTGCTACTCACAGCACTGTGACCCAGAAGAAAGAATTTATATTTTCTAAGCTTTACTTCCTTAGAGAAGTTCCCTGAAGCTTTCATGGGCAAAAAGCCTTTAGTACCTTCCATTCAACTACCAGGGCTGAGTGAGCATGGAAGAATTCTCAGGGCATGGTTCAGTACAAGGATGATGCTTGATTCCTACATCTGCTTCAATGGGATTAATGTTTCATCACATGTTTTCAATTGTGAATATATATGTAACAAAATATGCTAGATCAACATTTCATTTTTCATTCTTAAAAGAAGGCTTTTGATACAGGCTACCGAATAGTTCCCCAGGAAGATTTTTCCAGTTTATCCTTTCTCCAGCTGTGTTTGATGGTGCTTGTTTTGTACACCTACCCAGGTGATATGGTAAAAGTTTATTCTGGGTCAGATGAATAGAAAATATATAGGCACCCATCTCAGCTATGTATTAGCCATATTACCTATTCTGCTTTGTTTATCCGTAAAATAGGAAAATTGATATTTATCAAATACTTAGTGCTTAGTAGAGACTATTATTGGTACCACTAAAACTGCAATAACATTGCTAACTTTTATCTTGATGACCCATATCCTGGGAAATTTTCTCTGGCTTCTAATGGGGATGAATTATTTTAGATGTTGGACTCTTCCGAGTGGATGTAGGACAGGGCAGTTGGAAGAGTGTAAAGTGGGTAGAAAAGGTGTTTGAAAGCCTCTGGAAACAAAATGACTGCATTATTAATCATACCTGTAGCTTTTCAAGCATGTGGATTTCAGAATGGATGGACAAATTATAAGGATTGCCCTTAGCCCTCCTTAGCCTTGATGGTCAGGAGGTCCCTGTTTAGAACTATGCTGCCCTGAATATTTGAGTTTGGACCCTACTGGGCCCCAGAGTCAAGGTGAGAGAACCTTTAAGCCTGGGTGTTTTAGGTGCATCCTTCCTTTCTGAACCAGAAACTAACATGTGGACAACTCCAGAGGTGACCAGCCCCGCGCCATCCCCAAGAACGTTCCATTCATCATCGGCAGCCATTGGAAGCCAGCTGTATGTCTTTGGAGGTGGAGAGAGAGGCGCTCAGCCTGTGCAGGATGTGAAGTTGCATGTGTTTGACGCAAGTATGGTGTGGGGCCTACTAATTACTTGGTCAGGGCCATTCAGCTTGTGGCTTACCTGATGTAGGAAGCAGACGTTCGAAAATGAAACCCTGTCCCATTTCTAGACTTATTTGTATATCCCTTGGCTGATATCTTCCCCCATACAGTGAAATTTACATTTAAAAAGGTATGAATGCTCAGATTTTTAAAACATTTAAACTAAAATTTTATAAAGTTAAAAAAGTAACCGTTCTTTCCATTCCCCAGACAGAAGTAAACACTATTAAAAACAAAATCTCTGCCTTCGAGTCAATTCCTACTCATAGAAGTTCTATAAGACAGAGTAGAACTGCCCTATAGGTTTCTGAGACTGTAACTTTACGAGAATAGAAAGCCTCATCTTTCTCCCATGGGTTAGTTAGTGGGTTTGAACTGTTGATCTGGTGTTAGGTGACCAGTGCTTAACTCACTACCCCGCTAGAGGTTCCTTATAACTATTTCTTTACTTTCTTACTTTCTTTTTTTTTAATTATTTCATTGGGGGCTCGTACAATTCTTATCACAATCCATACATCCATCCATTGTGTTAAGCAAATATGTACATTTGTTGCCCTCATCATTCTCAAAACATCTGCCTTCTACTTTAGCCCTTAATATCAGCTGCTCATTTTCCCCCTCCCTCCCATCTCCCCCTCCCCCTCCCTCATAAACCCTTCATAATTCATAAATTATTGTTTTGTCATAAGTTATATTGTACAACGTCTCCCCTGCCCTCTTCTCTGCTGTCCTTCCCCCAGGGAGGAGGCTATACCTGGATTCTTGTAATCGGTTCCCCCTTTCTACCCCACATTCCCTCCACCCTACAGGCATCGCCCCTCTCACCACTGGTCCTGAAGGAGTCATCTGTCCTGGATTCCCTGTGTTTCCAGTTGCTATCTGTACCAATGTACATTCTCTGGTCTAGCCAGATTTGTAAGGTAGAATTGGGATCATGATAGTGGGGGGGGAGGAAGCATTTAAGAACTGGAGGAAAGTTATATGTTTCATCGTTGCTACCCTGCACCCTGATTGACTCATCTCCTCCCCACAATCCTTCAGTAAGGGGGTGTCCAGTTGACTACCGATGGGCTTTGAGTCTCCACTCTGCACTCAGTGGTTGTATCAGGAAGGTGGGTACCCACTGATAAGATTTTTAGTCCTTTGATGTCTGATAACTGGTCCCTTCGACACCTCATGGTCACACATGCTGGTGTGCTTCTTCCATGTGGGCTTTGATGCTTCTCAGCTAGATGGCCACTTGTTTATCTTCAAGCCTTTAAGAACCCAGACTTTCTTATGTATTTAGTTACAAATCTTATGTATATATAGGGGAGTGGCAAAAGTTTGTGGAGAAATTCCATTTTTTTTATTATTAAAAGATCATTTTCTTGGGGCTCTTACAGCTCTTATAACAGTCCATACATCATTTGTAGCGAGCATATTTGTACATGATTGAAAATAATACCACCATTATTTTCTAAACATTTACTTTCTATTGAGCCCTTAGTATCAGCTCCTCTTTTTTTGCTCCCTTCCCCCCCACCCTCATGACCCCTTGATAAATTATAAATTATTTTAATGCATTTTGCCCATGAACTTTTTGAAGTTCCCACATACATGAATTTTCTATAAGTTGTTAAATGACATGTACACTTTGAAAACACAAACATGGAATCCAATTACAAATATTATTTTGTGACTTGTTATAGATTGTAGTAATTGAAAGCATGAACTTTGAAGCACATGATGTGGACTGGGACCAGATCTGCCACCAGCTTTCTGTGTTGCCTTAGACTAGTTACTTAATCTCTCTAGGTCTTCATTTGCAGGTCTGTAAAATAAAGATGATAGTGTCTATTGACTGTATTAACTATAAAAATTAAATGTGATTTAGTGCATAGCACATAGGAAGCACCTAATAAGTAGTAGCTGTATTATCTTTTGTCAATTTTTATTCTATGCAAATGTGTGGTGTGCTGTATTCATTCAGTCATTTTCCTATTGAGTGACTTTTGGATAACTGTGTAACATTGTGGGAAAAAGGTAGGGCTTTTTATTCCCTTAAAGAGTTATAGTCTCAGAAACCCCCTAGGCAGTTTTACCATGCTCTACAGGGTCACCATGCGTCAGAATTAATTCGATGGCAGACAGTTCATTGTAGTTAGTGTTACACTGAACATATGTATATATGTACCTCTATGCACATATTACCAAGATTTGTATAAACAGATGTTGAGAGGATTACTAGATCACAATAGCATAAACATTGAAGATTTGTAAGAACACTTGTCAATTTGGGGAATAAGGAGCATTTACTTACATTTTTTTTTCTTACTAGTAAGCAGTTATAAAAAAGACTTTTTATTTTACAGAAATGCTTTTCATTGCTATTTTGCAATAAAATACAACTTGTCTTAAGGAAATGCCGTAACAAAAGTTCATATTTACAAAGTCAAATTGGAAGAATTAAGATACTTCACAGTCTGTGTCTTCCCTTTTTTAGAAAGAATGGGCTTTGTGGTTCTTTTAAAGCAGATTTTAAAAATGAAATAGTATCGATTTTTAATACATAAGCATGTAAATGAGAAGTAAATACAAAATACATGTATATATGTGAAGGGGCTTCAAAAAGTTAATGACAACGTTTTATTATATTTTAATTCAAATTTTCTACGAACTTTTTTGAAGTCCTCTCCTATATATTTGTATATGAAAACTACTATCATCTCTAAATTAATAATTAACATCTCAGTGTATTTCTAGTCTTTTTTTTTTAATGTAGCAGAGACACTTCCATGTCTAATATATGTATCTTGTATTTTTCACTCAATACATTTCCCCGTATAGTCATAAAATCTAAACTAACATTTTTAATAAATGTACATGATTCCATTACGGCTATACCAATAACTCAACCTCTTGTTGGACACAGGCTCATTCCGGTTCTCCATTATAAACATTATGATAAACACACTTGTACATAACCGTTTCAAATTATTTTAAATTGTGTTCTGTGAACCACTGGATGGGGGTGGGACAGTGTGAACAATCCGCAAAACCCACTGCCATTGAGTCGATTCTGACTCTTAGGACCGATTTGAACTGTCCCCGTGGCCTTTCCAAGGCCATAAATCAGTATGGAAGCAGAAAGCCTCATCTTTCTCCCAAAGAATGACTGGTAGGTTCAAACTGCTGGCCCGAAGGTTAGCAGTCCACTACACCAACAGGGTTCCAGAACAACTGGCAGGCATCATAAAGTGGAATTCAAAGAGAAATTGTTTGGTTGGTCTTTGTTCCGAATAGTTTTTGTAGTGCTCCTTTAAGACTTTTCTATTGTGTTGAAATGATCAGTTTTCCAGAATTTTGTATGTGCACAACTTTGAAGATTTGAAGAGCTGTCTAGCATAGATCACCTCTGCACTGTTAGGATAACAGTATAATAACTCATTTATTGAATATCTTTGTGTACTATATGCACATTATCTCACTTAATCTACATATCAGTCCTTAGAGGTAGGTATTTTCACATATTGTATACCCATTTTACAACTATAGAAAAGGGGGAGAGGGGCATAAAGGTGGTAGTGGGGTATAGGAGTGATGACGCCAACAGGTCCTTATAGAAAAAGAATGTTTGGTAACTGATTGTGGTAGCAAATATACAATTCTGCTGGATGTGATTGAACTATGGGATGATTTGATATATGTATTAATCCCAATAAATAACGAAAAGAAAGTTTAAAGAATAACTGGCCCTAGGCCATGTATTTATTTAGTGAGAGAACCAGGTTTCAAACTCCACTACCTTTGTTCTAATCATTTTCCAATACTCCCTCACCAATGTTAGTCTTGTTCTTTTTTACTTAATAGTAATCTATTTTTTCCTCATTCTTTCAACAAAGCAATTACCTTTGAAAAAACAAAAACAAAAAATCTCATCATAGTGAATGAGGTGGGGAGTGTGGAGTGGAGACCCAAAATCCATTTGTAGGCCACTGACATCCCCTTACAGAAGGGTCTGAGGAGGAGATGAGCCAGTCAGTGTGCGATATAGCAACAATGAAACATACAACTTTCCTCTAGTACCTAAATGCTTCCACCTTCCCCACTATCATGATCCCAATTCTACCTTACAAATCTGGCTAGACTAGAGGATGTACACTGGTACAGATAGGAACTGGAAACACAGGGAATCCTGGGTGGATGATCCCTTCAGGACCAGTGGTATGAGTGGCGATACCGGGAGGGTAGGAGGGTGTGTTGGAAAGGGGGAACCGATTACAAGAATCTACATGTGACCTCCTCTCCCTGAGGGACGGACAACAGAAAAGTGGGTGAAGGGAGATGTGGGACAGGGCAAGATATGACAAAATAATTTATAATTTATCAAGGATTCATGGGGGAGGGGGAGGGGGGAAGGAAGAGGGAGGGGAAAAACGAGCTGATGCCAGGGGCTTAGGTGGAGAGCAAATGTTTTGAGAATGATGAGGGCAATGAATGTACAAATGCACTTTATACAATGGATGTATGTATGGGTTGTGATGAGTTGTATGAGCCACTAATAAAATGATTAAAAAAGAAAACAAAGCACTTGTTAGGACCCCTGATGGAATGACTTACACATTGGGCTGTTGATCACAAGGTTGGCAGTTCAAACCCACCATTGACTCGAAGGAGAAAGATGAAGCTTTCTGCTCCTGTAAAGATTTACAGGAGCATCAGAAACCCTAAGGAAAAGTTCTGCTCTGCCTTAGGTTTGGATGAGTCAGAATCAGAATCAACTTAAAGGAAGCCAAGCTAAAAAGAGGTCTTTTTGAATTCAATGCCCAAGAGAAGGGGCAGACTTGTTAACAAGCTGTCCAGCCCTGGAAATGTCCAAACAGAGGTTGTCCAGGCTTTCTATAGACACTGTAGAGCAGTGGTTCTCAACCTTCTTAATGCCGCGACCTTTAATACAGTTCCTTATGTTGTGGTGACCCCCAACCATAAAATTATTTTCGTTGCTACTTCATAACTGTCATTTTGCTACTGTTATGATTCATCATGTAAATATCTGATATGTAGAATGTATTTTCATTGTTATAAATTGAACATCATTAAAGCATAGTGATGAATCACAAACAGTATGTAATTATATATTGTGAACTATTTCTAATTACAAATAAATTATCTTGCAGCATGGTGTAGCATGGGTAACAGTCTTCACGCTGGGTAACCATATGTGGGCGTATCTGCATGTGGGAGGACCCACCTGGAGACGGATGGAGAAGGGGTGACTCAATTCCTAAGATCATCGGAATTAAGTTTTTCTGATGGCCTTAAGGGACCCCTGTTAAAAGAGTCATTCTACCCCCAAAAGGGTCACAAATGATCCACAGGTTGCTAACTGCTGTAGAGGGAAGCACTTCCTGCTTGCTGGGAAGTAGTGAAGAAGCTTGGGTGTATTTCTCATGTTCTTGCTTCATGGCTTTGCCATCTGATGCCAATGAATTTACTGTTCTAGACACTCTGACTTGGACACAGCCAGAGACACATGGAAAACCCCCATCCCCTCGGCATGGTCATGTGATGGTGGCAGCAGGGACAAAGCTCTTCATCCATGGAGGCTTAGCAGGGGACAAATTCTATGATGATCTCTATTGTATCGATATAAGTAAGTAAGGGTTGGGGATTGTCACCTTAAAATTAAATAGAAGGTGCTGATAGAATATAATCATTCTCATAGGTGGGGGTAACTTGATAAGCCTCTGGTTTTCAATGGATTCTGTTAAGTGTGGTCTGAAGAATAATTTTAGAAATAGATAATTTTTTGAGTATCCGTGGGTTTCCAAACATGAGCTTTGCTCTTCACAACAACCTGTTCTTTCATAATACCCACTACGTATTTTCCACACAGATTTCCTTTCAGGCATTGGAATATAGTTAACAATCCATGAATTTTGAAACTGGTCACTAGAATTGAATGCTAAGGATGACTAAAACCACTGGGGAGCAGGGCTGATGTGTTCTAGGGGGCCTGGGCTCATTCTCAGGTAGTCCTTCAGTTTGAGCTCCATTAAGACAGGAATGTGCCCCTTTTTGTACCCATGAATTTCCAGCACTTATGGATGAAGGCACAGGGAACTGTTGTGCAGTATGTTCGTATTGGGCTACCTTGCTAGCGGTGGGTTCTGTGGGATTCCTACATTGACTAGAATTTTGACTGGCCTGGGTGATCCTTCCAGGGCTAGGATGCAGGGTTCTTACACATACAGGTGGAAACAATCGTTACAGAAATGTTCCTTGCAGCCAGTCAAATGGAGGGTTTGGGGGCGGGGGGTGGTTCCTTTTTTAAAAATTATTATTAAATACTTTTATTCGGGACTCTTACAACTCTTGTGTCAAGCATATTTGTACATATGTTGCCATCATCATTTTCAGATCATTTTCTTTCTATTTGGGCCCTTGATGGGGGGTGGGGTGTCATGATTTGTGTGTGTGTGTGTGTGTGTGTCTGAAAATAAACACAGCAAAATATACACCAATATTGTTCTGTAATATTTTTAGAAAGTTCTTCCTATTTTTCTTGCTTACAAGTACTTCTTTAAACCTATTAAACTGCTTTATGTTAACACTTATTTGACAAGATGCAAATTTCCCTACAAAAAAAGGAGTCAGTGTTTGAGACAGCACAGTTACTAGTGTGGAGATTATCAGCTTTGGAGTCAGACTTACATACAGTTCAAGCTTTGCCACTTTCTAGCTGTGGGATCTCAAGACAGGTCTATCTCTTTCCCTCTCTAATCCGCAGTTTCCTTATCTGTAAGAAACAAACAGAAGTAATAGCAATTTCAGAGGGCTCTTAGGAGAATTAAGGTATTTGACTCTGTGTAGCCTACACCTCACAAAGTTGTGTTCTAAGAAGTCTTCGGGAATTAAAACAAGTAATATGTGCACATGCTTGGGCAGGCACACACAGGACCACATCTGCTAGCTTCCAGAACAGTCCCTGGTGATAGCCATCAAAGATTTTTTTTTTTCATGTGCTCTACATCAGAATTACTGAGGTGTTTGTTAGAACTAAGGGGGCTTCAAACAGTTCGTGGCAAAATTCCATTCTTTTGATTCCACCTTTGCACCAACTTTTTAAAGCCCCCTGGTATAAATTGCTTAGGCCCTACCTCTCTGGATTACCAAATTAGAACTTCGGGCTCCCACCAAGTAATTCGAATGCACACTAAACCTTACTCTATCATCTCTCTGAGCAAACTGCAGGGGTCAGACCAGAAGCTTGAAACCCAAGTTTTAGCATGCATTGTGCCCAAACCCTGTCTCTCTCTTGGCAGGTGATATGAAATGGCAGAAGCTGCGTCCCACTGGGGCTGCCCCTGCTGGCTGTGCTGCCCATTCAGCTGTGGTTGTGGGGAAGCATGTGTACATCTTTGGAGGAATGGCTCCCACAGGAGCACTGGACACCATGTACCAGTACCACATAGGTGAGTGACTGTCACCTTGGTTCTTTAACAGGCATAGCTACTCAGGAAAATGACAGTGCCTTGGTATTTCAAGTTGGGCCCTCCACATCTGAATCCAAAGGAATAACCAAGTTTGTAGGGAATGATATCAAAGCAGTAATACTGTCATTAGCTGTTTGCACTGTCTCCCGTTTCTGTTGAAAAGGTAGCTAATATTCATCACTGGGCATTTCTGGAAATCTAATACAAAGCCTGATTTTTTTTTTTTTCTAACATAGAAAAGCAGCATTGGACCTTGCTTAAATTTGATACTTTCTTACCCCCTGGACGACTGGACCATTCCATGTGTGTTATTCCATGGCCAGTGGCATCTGCTTCTGAGAAAGATGATTTCGATTCTGTCCCTCTGAACTGTGAAGCTGACAGAAATTTCGAGGACAAAGCAGTCATCCAAGGTGATGACTCACAGCAAAGTGAGGACACACTGCTCTGTTTTGTGTTCGGTGGCATGAACACCGAAGGAGAAATCTATGATGATTGTGTTGTAACTGTAGTTGACTAATAAAACACTTTATTTGTAAGCAGCTCTTTCAGAAAAGTTAAATGGAAAAAGTTTAAAACGTTAATAAAGCTGTTTTATACCCCAAATATTTTCTGGACAATGTTTTACTCTTATCAACTTTGGTATGTGAAAAATGTAACTTAGGTGTGATTATGTGTCACTCAAAGGTTTGCTGGACATTTGCTAGGTGAAATCTAATATTGTCTGCTTCCTCAGAAAGAGGTTCAGTCTTAACAGACTGGGTTGAAGATGAACTAGCCTATTTCCTAATTAATCCTACTACCCCAGGGCAGATGGCACTGCAGGCCTATTTTGTTTTTTCTGTTTGGTTTTTATTTTTTTTGGTCTATTTTGATTTGTATTACCTGGCCCAAAGACCTAACATTCTAAACTCCAGGACTGCCCAAATCCTTTAGGGGCAATAAGGCAAGTTTAATGTTGGCTTCCAGTTCTACCATCAAATTCACCAACCTATGAAATAATGTCCTCCAGGAATATTGGATTTTAGCTTAGCACTGGCAGCTGCCTGCTTCATTGATCACGACTCAACCTATACTGAATCCTTTCCTTGGGAAGCCAGTCCAACGAATCCTAAACCTCAATTTTTTTTTTTTTTAAACAAACCACTGCCCTTAATTGTAATGGAAACTCACTTAGTTTCAAGGTTACCAGCCCAGGGCCCACCCCAGAATCACTGAAATCTCGGGGCTAAAGACCGACACATCTTAGGTTGGAAAATATACATCATCCTAAAATTAGCAATTAAATCATTCTTCAGTGAACATCTTAAGGCCTGGTGATACAGTGGTTATGAATTGGGCTGCTAACCTCCAGGTCAGCAATTGGAAACTACCAGCTGCTCCAAAGAAGGAAGTTTTCTAGAAAGACTGAATCAGAGTTGACTCAATGGCAGGTCACTCCATTTGTAGACAAAAGAATGCAAGCAGCTATACATCATAAAATGTCACCAAAAAGGCAGTTTTGAAAATAGGAAATTTCAAATGTTTCAGAAACTAATTTGGGGCACTATGCAATAGTTGTTGCCCCACCTAAGATTAAAATAGGCAAAATTTTCAAAGTACTGACCGAAACTGTTGTCATATCTCATCTCCAAGTGTCCCAAGCATTTACTGCCCCGACCTCCAGAGAATGCAACCTTTGATTTTACTTATTAAGTTAGCTGACCTAAGTAGAATAAAAAATCACACCAGTGTAAATAACAAATATTTATTGGTGTCACTTATGGTAGAAAAAAGTTCCTACACCAGAAGCACATGACGCAATTGTTAAATAGAACATTTCCAAGGTGAGCACACTCCCAACCTGTGTTTTTACCCAGTGTTTTAATATTGCCAATTCCTCTTCGCCCCCAACCCCCCACCCCAAGACGTGTGAACAACTGCTAATGAAAAGCAGTAAACAGCCATTTAGGCTATAGCATTTTCAACTCCACGCAGAGGTGAAGATTCCAATTACACCAGAGACTTAAGTTCTCTCCATTTTCTCTTAACGAAAGTTCCTGAGTCCAGTATTTACAATATTATAGCATTAGCAGAGGAGTGTCTACAACTCATCTTTTTCTGCTGTCTCCTCTTCACCAGTTGGGGGAGGGCCTGCACTTCCATAGAGTTTGCTGATAATTGGCTGAACAATTTCTTCTAGTTCCTTCTTTTTAGCTTTAAAGTCTTCAATGTCAGCATCTTGGTGACTTTCCAGCCATTCAATCTTTTCTTCTACAGCTTTTTCCATGGTTTCCTTATCTTCAGAGGAAAGTTTACCCCCCAGCTTTTCTTTATCTCCAATTTGATTTTTTAGAGAATAGGCATAGCTTTCTAATTCGTTTCTAGTATCAATTCGCTCCTTAAGCTTTTTGTCTTCCTCAGCAAACTTCTCAGCATCATTAACCATCCTTTCAATTTCTTCAGGTGTCAGGCGATTTTGGTCATTGGTAATGGTGATCTTATTTTTGTTCCCTGTACCTTTGTCTTCAGCTGTTACTCGCAGAATGCCATTCACATCTATCTCAAAGGTTACTTCAATCTGTGGGACTCCACGGGGAGCAGGTGGAATTCCAGTCAGGTCAAACGTACCCAGGAGATGATTGTCTTTTGTCAGGGGTCGTTCACCTAGTAGTTAAAAAAAAACTTGTGAGTTGTTACTAACATTAGATCTCAATGCCTACTCAGTCTACAGTGGCAGGGATACTGTGATCACGCAGTAGTGATTCAGACTTCTTAGTCTACAAGCAGCAGCAACTGAGATTTAATTTCACCTATTTCATAGCACTGTCATGCTTATGAGCCAGCTCAGCACTTTTAATGGGGAATATTTTTGTGCTGACTGTAAAGCCCCAGTTAAAATACTGACCCTCATACCTAACATTAGCAGATACTTGCCTAGTATAATAAAGTAATCATGCTCTCTACTGCATAACATAATATTAAGTATAAGCAATTACCTTCATAGACCTTGATTGTAACCGTTGGTTGATTATCAGAAGCTGTAGAAAAGATTTGAGACTTCTTGGTGGGCACCACAGTGTTTCTTGGAATCAGTTTGGTCATGACACCACCCACAGTTTCAATACCAAGTGTAAGGGGACACACATCAAGCAGCACCAGATCACCTGCAACAAGAAGTTAAATCATAATAAACTAAGAGTCAAAGGGGAGAGCACTCCCTTTTTGAACTTCACCGTTAGTAAAGGAGAAAAGATGCTGTGAAATCAGCGAACCTGTATCTTGATCACCAGAGAGTACTCCAGCTTGGACAGCAGCACCATATGCAACAGCCTCATCTGGGTTTATGCCACGGGATGGTTCCTTGCCGTTAAAGAACTCTTTAACCAGTTGTTGAATCTTTGGGATTCTAGTAGAGCCACCAACAAGAACAATTTCATCAATATCAGACTTCTTCAAATCAGAATCCTCCAACACTTTCTGGACAGGCTTCATGGTAGAGCGGAACAGATCCTAGAGAAAGAGACATAGTTATCGCGTACCCTGACTGCAGGGCCCTAAAAATCAGAGATGTAACTCAATTTCATTAACAAAACAAAAACAGAGAACATACCATGTTGAGTTCTTCAAATTTGGCCCGGGTTAGGGTTTCAGAGAAATCTTCTCCTTCATAGAAAGATTCAATTTCAATTCTTGCCTGATGTTGCGCAGACAGGGCCCGCTTGGCTTTTTCTACCTCACGCCTGAGTTTCTGCACAGCTCTATTGTCTTTCCTGACATCTTTGCCAGTCTTCTTTTTATACAATTTGATGAAGTGCTCCATGACCCGCTGATCAAAATCTTCTCCACCCAAATGAGTATCTCCATTAGTGGCCACAACTTCAAAGACACCATTGTCAATGGTGAGAAGAGACACATCGAAGGTTCCACCACCCAGGTCAAACACCAGGATGTTCTTCTCGCCCTCCCTCTTATCCAGGCCATAAGCAATAGCAGCTGCTGTGCTGTTAGATGGATGACAGAGAGAACAATGCTTAGTCAAGAATCAATTTCTTCTATTTATTAAATATGCCATGCCAAAGACTTTCAATACTTACGGTTCATTGATGATCCTCATAACATTCAATCCAGCAATAGTTCCAGCATCTTTGGTTGCCTGGCGCTGGGCATCATTGAAATAGGCAGGTACAGTAACAACTGCATGGGTAACCTAAGATAACAAAAAGTTACAGAATATATTTTGTATATTATATGCAAGCCATCCACTTAAGTCTCTAAAATTCAGTTCATTTTTAGATTGGGTATAAAATGACACATATTATACCCATATTAGAAGTAAACCGGCTTATTTCTAAACATGTAATTTCAAGTACTCAGTGACAACACATGAAAATGTCTGGCAAACAGCAAAGTGCTCAATTAAGCTTGATGTCATTTGAACAGTTTTAAAATCATGAAGTTATCTATACCTAAGTCAATGTGAAAATCTTAGGTTCTAGAAATATTTACCTTCTTTCCCAAATATGCCTCAGCCGTTTCCTTCATTTTAGTGAGAACCATGGCAGAAATTTCTTCAGGAGCAAATGTTTTTGTTTGTCCCCCTCCGATGTCTACTTGGATGTATGGTTTAGTTTTCTTTTCAACCACCTATTTTAAAGAACAAATTTAAGAATGGGGCCAAAACTTTCTGACTCCTTCAAAAAGGGGATTGTCTGAGACTCAATTTTCTCCCCCACAGCTAATTTGGGTCCTTTGCCATTGACTAATGAGGACTACTGAGGAAATACTCTCAAAACACTAAACTTTGAAGACACAGTTACACAATAAGTTATTTTTGTTTCCTTGTTACTGTTTTTATACCAAATACAACGTTACGGTTTACAGACCAGAATTAAGACTTGTCCTATCAAACCCTGTTTTTCGGATACCCACCACCCATCCTCTATCCTAATAAGAAAACATCATGCGGACCTTGAAAGGCAGGAACTTTATGTCCTGCTGCACAGACGGGTCGTTCCAAGTCCGGCCAATGAGCCGTTTGGCGTCAAAGACCGTGTTCTCAGGGTTGGAGGTGAGCTGGTTCTTGGCTGCATCGCCGATCAGACGCTCCCCTTCGGGGGTGAAGGCCACGTAAGACGGCGTGATGCGGTTGCCCTGGTCGTTGGCGATGATCTCCACGCGGCCGTTCTTGAAGACCCCGACGCTGGCGGAGAACGCACAGAATGAGTACCGCACTTCCCACACCGCCCCAGGAGACCACGCCCCATCCTGCCCTTCCGTGAACCCCACTGACCAGGAGTAAGTGGTCCCCAAGTCGATGCCGACCACCGTGCCCACGTCCTCCTTCTTGTCTTCCTCCTCGGCATGCGCCGCGCCGAGGAGCAGCAGCACAGCCGCCACCAGGGACAGTTTCATTTTGCCGCAGACGGCCAGTCGGTCGGCAAGCAGGCAGGACTCGTCGCAGGCAAGAAGCAACACACAGGCCGCAGCACGCACACGCAACAAGATATCGACCTGAAAGGGACCAGGGACTGGGATGAGGAGGAGCGACGGCCGAAGCGAAGGGCAAGGCTGGAAAAGAAGGCCGCGGCGCTTACCTCTGGCACTACCGAACCCCACCAGTTGGCGA